CACATTTACGAATACTGACAAATGGTAGCGCGTACTTCGTAAGTTTAATATTAATTTCAGTTTCACTGAGAAAAATTAACTTTAGTGCCGTAAACATGAAACCCGTTTCCGTCGCATTAAAGGCGTTAAGAAAGCTAGGTACTTTTTGCGTCAAGGAATGACTAACTATTGTGATTAAACTTTTTGATCTGTGATGACGTCAATTGATCTTCCCGATAAAATTTTCCGCTTGTGCTGAAATCTTTTGATTTCATCATACACGTTTCCTTCATGACGAAGACAATAAGTATTTTCCTTGTCATTTCGCAATTTATTTTTTTGAGTAATGAAAATTACTCTTCAATAGGCGCAAGTTTATTCTAGACTATAGCTTTTTAGAGATTTTTCTCATCAGAGTTTCTTCCATTAGGTTTTGAAGTAAAAGGTTAAAATTCTTGGTTTTGCAAAGAATGGCAACCCGAGTTGAAATTAGCAATTTTTAGTTTCGGATAAACTTGCTCTCTTAAATCCAACGAACTACTTACTTAAGAATATAACGGAAATTTTTGAATTTACTGAATGTAGAATTAAGGATTTAAAGCTAAGAACTTTCTACAACGGCAACAGCACAACGCTGGCCCCATCTTGGTGCGGCTGAGCGGTATCAGCTGTAAACTTCAACGCGAGCTGCGCAAAATGAATTATGATGTAACATTAAATTTAGAAAATGTATCCAAGTTCAGCATAAAATAATGTTAAGCATATATAGACAGAAGAGCCTTTTCTATCAATACTGTGCCACGAATTTGCTCGGTGATTTCATTTCACGGGCGTTTTTTTTGTTGCACAGTATCTGGTGAGAAAAATGAATTTCACTATCACAAAAACCATCTCCTTGTCAAAGTCTCGTTTCACTGAGAGGATTCTTTGTTGCGTCAATAGGGCGACTCATCATGCCAAGAGAAGACACAGTTGTGATAACAGAACTCTATTCGCTGCAATTAATTTTTATCTTTTTCATTAGGCACATACGTGTTCTTTGCTGCGAGAACAATGTTTCTTGTACCCCAAGGAGCAGTTATCGCGATTTGATCGGAGAATTTACCGCGATTTTATTTGAATTTGATTTATTGCAATATGATCGGATAAAAATTTTTGATAAAGTGCAATTTCAAATTGAATTTCAATTTGGAATTTTGGAATTTTATTGAACCCGATTGTAGAGGAACTAAACTTGCGACAAGATCGTGGATGATCGTTTAGATGTTAACGATCCTAGAGATTCAATCTTCAAAAAGTCGTAAAATCATCGAAATTTAATTTCAAAATATCGCGATTTTGAAAAATGGTACTTGGGATGAGCAGAGTGTTTATCAAAGTGTTCCTTTTGAACTTTGAAGCTGTCTCAAACAATACTTTTGTGTGCCTCTGTGCCGAGAGATGCAGGTTTATTCATTTGTTCGATTGTCTAAGCTACCTCATTTTTTTATGATATCGTTTTCGATTTTTTTTTTATCTCAACACGCCCTCCCTCCCCACGTCATATCTACATCTGCCCCTCTACACGGAGAAAAATACTTCGTGCGTGGGACCCGCAGTTTAGGTCATATGGATCTCTGAAGTTTTCGGATTGAGCATCTGAACACTTTAGATCTAGCTGTCGATGTTCGGATCACACATCTGAAACTTCAGTTCTTACATCTGAAGTACTTCGGTTTTCACATCCAAAAAACTTCGGTTTTTCACATCTGAATTACTTCAGATGTAAGAACTGAAGTTTCAGATGTGTGATCCGAGCCTCGACAGCTAGATCTAAAGTGTTCAGATGCTCAATCCGAAAACTTCAGAGATCCATCCCGTGCACGAAGTTTTTTTCTCCGTGTAGGTATGTGATATTACTTCTGCAAGATTAATATTTTCAAACGAAGAACACTCCGCATGAATTTAGTTCCCACTTTAAAATTGAAGGAGGAAGGGGGAGGTTAGGAGAGTGCAAATTGTTAGTGCTTATTGATATTCGTTTGAATGCCCCCTTCATTTCACAATAAACGCCTGCAGCTGATATATCATTCAACGACGGGCAAAGGTCGCTTCAAAACTTCATTTGAAAATGCTTTGCAATTTTTTCTTTTTCCTCTAAACTTGGAGAATTGCAAGCCTTGAATATACTCAAATAATCTGAATGCAGGACTGAAAAAAGTTAAAACGACCTGATAATAGGAAAATATAATACAATCGCTTAGTATCCAACTTGATCCCTCAAGCGGAGAAAAAGAAATGAGTCCCGTGGAAACAGGTCGACTTTGGATGGAATTAAATTTGACTCTCATTTTGCTTTATTTACTTTTCAAAATTGCATTTCCTTTGTCAGTTAATTGCGTTCATAAGCTCGCTTGTATCCGTCGAGTTTAACAATGATAATGCATGACTCAACCTTTGTTTTACGTCAGAGGAAATTAAAATGACCGGGTGAAAAATGAAATGTATATGTAACGTGTGGAGCAATCCCTGGTAAAAATTGGCGATAGGAGCTGCGTTTCAAAATGTCATAGGAGTTCTTATAGCCGACTGAAGAAGGCGATAGAAAATCATATAGCTGGCTGTAGAAAGTGGAAAAAATCTTACGGCCGGGCTACACGAAGCGAAAAAAAATTATACAGCCGGGCTGTAGTTCCTATCGCCGGGCTTTACACTTTATCGCTTGGCAGTTGCTTTTTCACTATCGGCTATAAAAGGCTGTATGAAATTGTGTAGAAATTCGTGTACTTTGTGAATCCTTAAGTTTGTACGGAATCACCTTAATATTTACACAACGCACATTATATTTTTCTTTACTACATATTTTTTTTCATCAATTAAAATGAGATTAGTCCATACAGAGTGTGCAAACATTTCAAAGTCATGAGTTGAAAAACGCTGACTCCGCGAGATTAAATATTAGAGCCCTAAACACTAAGCGGAGCGGCGGCGGCGCACTGGCGCCTACAAACCTAACAGGGATACTTCACGCATTGCGCAATGCTTGAAGTATCCCCGTTAGGTTTGTAGGCGCCAATGCGCGTTTCGCGCTGGCTGCCCGCCCGCCGCGCCGCGGCCGCGCCGCAGCGTACCACGGTGCTTGAAGCAAATATTTTACACCAGAGGTATTGCACAGTATCATACGAAATTGAAGGCGCTCCAACATATTCGGAATGGCAGGCATCCTTCAAAAGTACGGAGCTTTCCTCGCAAAATAAATCAAGATACTACGGCCCAAAAAGAGAGCGGTAGTCCAAAAACTCACCAAGTCCTAGCATCCGTAATTAGTAACGTTTAGCATACACTTTATCGCCGGGCTGTTGCTTAATCGCTGGGCTGTTGCTTAATCGCCATCGGCTATAAAAGGCTATAAGAAATTGTGTAGCCGGCTATAGAAGCTATTGGAAATCTTACAGCCGGCTGTAGGTCTATGGTATTTTGGAACACAGATTCTACTGCAAATTTTTACCGGGGATTCTAGAGTACTGCAGTACGTGTAAGCAATTTAAGGACGATTCTTGCGATGGATATGCAATAGCTGTTCCAAATAGCAAGCTCTAAAACCCATCAGGTAATTAAAAATGGTAAACGATCTTGGTTGGAAAATATATTAATTTTAATAAATTTGAAATTTCTCACATATTTTTCCTATAGTATTGCGAAATTTTAATCTGCTGTAGAGGCATATTAGCTAGGTGCCTTTACTTTTAAAAAAATTGGAAGGGAAAAATTTCAATTATACGTTCTAAAAATTGAATCTCCTCTCTTTTTTGATCTCCTCATTGCCTAGCATCGTTTTTAATGCACATCATTGTCTGCCCAGCACAAACACTGTAGTGAGTACGTTGCATTTAGACCAAGAGGCTTTCAACATATGGACGGCATAAGTCCGCAATCACACATCTCGTTTCCGGTGTCTGAAAATCTTCGCCTCTATGTTATTTTTTTAAAAGGGAACAAAGTGACATCATTCCTTGAAGTTTTTGCAGAATTTTCTTCGCACAGAGAAGAAAAGTCACGGCAGTTTTAAAGACTTGCCGTTGTATGGTTTTCCGTTTAAAAAATAAAATATGACAAGAAGTCTACGATATCGCAAATCGAGTTATGTGATTGCCGACTTACACCGTCGATATGCTCAAACCCTCATTTTCCCCCTAATCTTTTGTCTTCAGCTCGGAAAAATAGTATGTGTCATGCACACTAATGTCTACAGTCAAATGCATGTGTGGCAAAATGATAAAAAAGCAAAAATCTAATTCTATCAAAAAATTAGAATTAGGGATTAAGTAAAAAAAAAAGAGGTAGAAAAAAAATTAGTATCAGAGATCGGGAAAAAATTCCAACACGTTTCAGTGCAAAATTGAGAGGGGGAGGCGTTCATCTCTGAAATGGTGCATTGAAATAGTTCGCTGGGGTCCCTTCCACTATCACTGCAACACCTGCAGCAAATGAAGTAGACCCGTCACTATTTTACAATCCGTTTAGTGTTCGAGTTGTAATATTTGCATTTTTCCTTAATACATAAAATGTTGATACGAAATTTTCTCCCACTCCTCCGTGCTAAGGAAGAACGCCGTATGAACATTCGAGAGTTGCCAAATTTCCCTTAATAAAATAAATATTTTTGATGATATTTATGCACATTTTTCCTTGAAGTTTTCAGATATTTTAGACTGAACTGCGTACGAAATCGTCTGAAAATTTTGGGGAAAAATATTCACAAAATTCCCAGTTATTCCGGTTTTTATCGAGGGAAACTTGGCAACTCTCGAATGTTCATACGGCGTTTTTCCTTAGCACGGCAGTACTGTGGTCGCTAGATTCCCCGAAAATTGTTCGCAATGAATATGAAAATTCTCTCCGAGCTCCGATGCGTGCTGGAAAAAAACGTGGAAATTTCTCCTCGGTTGTTTATTGTTCAGAGAGGCAAAAAAGGCTCAATCCCGAAGTAACAGGTTTTTGCGATGCAATCTCTTGCCTCGGAAAAAAAAATGGGTCCTGACGCAAGCTTTCGTTCATATTCCAACAGACTTTCTGAATTGAGCGTACTTCTCGTGTAGTCTAGTTCATCATTTGCCTATAGTGTTTTGACCTTACATGAGTTACATTCATACCCCAGTCTTAGAGGCTACGCAAAATTGACATAATGCTGTTTTTAAATGGTGCTTTCGTTTTGATTCTGGCAAATTTGGAAACCCGAAATTTTGGAGGTAAATAAATCAAGTTAATAATTACTATTTTAATTTTTCAGATTGAAATTCTCCTAGATTAAACCTCATATTCTCATTTTAATCGCTCCATAAAGTAGGCCTTCGAGCAGATTTCTTGCGCCTGCTGTGTTTCAAGTGGTCCTGTAGGCTTCATTTTGCTATTAATTTATAAAGTAACGCATAATATCCTCTCTTCCTTTTTTAAAGTAGGCGGTATTTGATTCAGCGATGTCCGGTGGTGGCTGAGTTTCCAAATCTCAATTGTTTACGTCTCAGACAGATGATCAAATGAGGGGCTTGGAGGAAAAGGTGCATGAGCGTAGTTTTTGAAAAAATTTGAGATATTAATGGTTATTAATTTAAGATATTTTTCAAGTAAAACTTTTCTTATTGCACATTCTAAGAAAAAGTTGCTCCCAAATTCCAATTTTTATGCATAAAAAAGTCAGTTTGAACGTTCTTTCCGCCATAAGGATCCATGTAATTTCGAAACTTTAAATACGTTTTCTCGGAAAAGCAAATACTGCACTTATGCGCCCTGTCCTCTAAGCCCCTCAAGTAAGGTATTTCGCTATCGCCGAAACACGTCGGAAATACGAAAAGAAAAACAAAAGTTTAGATTTAGAGTAGTGAGTAATTTGTGTTTTAGTTTTTTTTTTTATTTTGCCCAGTGCCTGAGCAATTGTTTCCTTTTTAAATATTTACATACGGGACAGGTTTTTCATAAATGCCTTCGAATTATCGTTTATTTTCAACTAAAACATGATCAGACTGTATTTATTTCTTCCTAACTAAAATGTCTCACACGTCGGTTTTAGCCGTCATGATTGTAAATACCTATAAGAGGCTTCAGGGTGTGTCTTTGTACAAGTGCTAGGTCTCATTAAAAGACCCTATTAGTGATGTATAAAGTCTCACAGAGAATTCTAGTCTAAGTGTACGCCGCAGACACTTAAGAAGACGAATCGAACGGAATTGAACTTGCATACGGTTTATGGATTACTTACAAATATCTCGCCAAATCACAATAATTTACATTGACATATTGAATGTATTGGTATTGATAGCCTTTAAAGCACGAACTCGGCTTTGAGCGACTTCATTTTCAGCGATACTCTACGCTTTATCGCACAGCTAGTTTAGTTGCCTATTCGACCCAAACTCAAGTAATTGAACTTTCTTGCCATCTCTTTCTTTCTAACTGACTTTCTTTCCTATTTTGAATTTCTTAGATTTTTGTTTTTTATATTTTGTGAATTAAATATTTAGGGCAAGAAAATGATCCAAGACTTTAGTCCTCGACTCGTCTTAGGTTCCTGATACCGAGAGAAATCCTTTTTTGGCGAGGGGCAAATAACCTAAGAGTTTAAAATTAAAAGTATAAAAATTTAAAAAAATGTAGCCAATTTATAAAATTTGAAACTTTAATGTCGCTAATTTTTCAACGATATCTAGAGCATAATATCACAGAATATTATTGAAGCAGATATTTTCTTAAATCCTTTATTTCAAATGTGGAACCTTTCATGATGAAACACACAGTTTTTTACTTTTTTATTTTTTTTTTAATCTTTAAAGCGCCGCGTTTATAATGTCGAGCATAAAAAGCACATGAAAACAACTGGAATTGTGAGCACCTGAGGTTCCATACTCAGAAAAATTGCACGCGGTAGGTGCCTGCTAAATGTACGCAGCAAAAAACTCCAGTTTTATCTTTGGCATTTTAAGACCTTGAACATCACGTGATTCATACATTCTTCGTAATGGTGTGCGTCAAAATTTTCCCCTCTCTTTTGCACGTTTACAGCCACTGAATTAAGGCATGCACTTTTATATCAGGTCGTATGTGCTTCTGCCAATTGGACGAGGTTTAGGACTAGGCTCGGAGTAGGCTATTTTCGGTACGGACCAAGTCAAATCATCCAATGCGAAAACTTAAAAATTTTGGAAAAGCACCTTTGGTTTTTGAGCAAACTATATATTTTCAGTATTGAAAAAAATTGATGAGTTTTAAAGGTTACAGTTTTTTAAATAAAGTTTTTAAATCCCCGATAGTGTTCATTAAACTTTTGAAATGCAACAAAATTAAGTTGATCCGGCTCCATTGAAATTGAACTAGATTGAATTCCTCTCAAAAATGAAGTTATTAGAGTTGGTTCTTAGACAAGGGTTAGACAAATCTAATCTTAACGTAACTGAGCATCAGTAAACCGGGATGAAAACTGTCTTCGTCAAAAGGAAGATTATAAGGGAATTTCTCACGCATACTGCATGAATTGATTTCCGATGACCCTCGTGTGGCCAACGAAATCCTCATACTTTTCACCACAGACTAAATATCTAAAATATTTTTTGTGATGCCACCTCTATAATTCAACCAAAAAATAAATAGGTAGCCATTAAAGCTGAATGTTTCAAAATATGAACGACTATTTTTATGCATACGAAAGATAAAACATCAACACTCGTTAGAACTACCTTGAGTTATTTGTTGAAATGGTTATACATGAGTTCATCATGGAATAATAGCAGAAGAGGGGAGGTATCACGACTGAAACAATAAATAGTCGTCCCAAAAGTGGCCTCTCTTGTGACAGAGCAAGTCACCACGAGAAGTGAATAAAATGAAACCCACTGATGAGAGAGGCCTCTAGCAAAAAATTAACCTTTGGTCCCAAGCTTTTCTTGGTAGTGCAGTGTGCAAAAAATATCCGAAAAATCTCAGTTTTCCCCACATTTTTTTTATTTTTGGAAAAAACTAAAATAATCAAGAATCTAAGGGAAACTGATGGCGAAATAAGTAGTCTGAACAATTCCCAGTCACAAAATTCAGACGAAAAAAGAGAACGATGAAACATGCATAAGAGAAAATTTTAAAAACATTAAAATGTGTATAATTTTACCGTAAAATAAAATAAGGAAAGTAAAAAAATGAAAATCTTAAATGAAGAAGAAAAGAAAAACACAACGTCAAGTATTACGTAATGCGAGACCTTGGAAAAAAAAGTCACAAAATTCAGAAGAAAAAAGAGAACAATGAAACATAAGAGAAAATTTCAAAAACATTGAAAAAGGTAAAATTTTACAATTAAATAAAATAAGGAAGTACATACATATAAAGCCGCTTCAATAGCGCGCTCTGGCGCTCTGCGACACCTAGCCGCCAAAGTCCCCTATCCTCCCAAAGCCCTTCAGGAACCCCTCATTTCCTCAGGTACACCCTCATTTCTTCTGAAACCCCCTGTCACCACCCTTTCACTGGGTGTCCCCTTCGTCTTCTCCCAGGAGGAACCCAATCAAGCATCTTCTTCAGCAGTCTTTCGTCCGTCATTCTAATGGCATGACCATGCCAGACAAGCTGTCTGGTCATAACGTCAAATACAATGTCATTTTCGACCCCCAAATATAAGTAAAAAATGAAAATCTTAAATAAAAAATAAATGCAAAATACTGCATCAAGCGTTACGTAATACGAGACCTTTGATCTCTCCCATCTCGTAACGTAGTGTCGCGGCTCAGATCTCCTCCTCCCCTCCGTCCAGCGTGTTCTGCCGTGCTAAGGATATACGCCCCATGAAAATCCGAGATTTGCCAAATTTCCCCTCCTAAAATATTAATTTTTGATACCAATATTGAATATTTCTACTCAGTGTTCGAAACTCACAGGTGCCAACGCGCCAAATGCACCTAAAAAATCGGCCATGGCGCCTAAAAAATGAAGGCTCTGCGCCAACGTGGCCCCTAAAAATTGCCCCTCCCTCCAAAAAAAAAAAAAATCCTAATGTTTGTGTTAGGTAATTTTTTGAAGTTTCCCCCAAGTTACAGTTACTAGTTCTGTAACTAAAACATCTTGCGTCTAACTTTTCACTAAATGCGCCGTGATGTATAGACAAGAAGTCAATTTGGCCCCTAAAAAATCCTCAATGGCACCTTAAAGTCGAGCATGATGCGCCACATGGCTCCCGAAACTCAAAGGTGAGTTTCGAACGCTGTTTCTACTTGAAATTCTCCGATACTTCAAATCAAATTGCGAAGAAAATTCTCTGAAAAATTGAACGGGAAATTTTCACAAGTTTTCCTGAAAATTCGTATTTTACCAAAAGAAATTATGAGACGCACGAAGGTTCACACGGCGTTCTTCCTTGGCACGGCATTGTTGTGTGTTTTATGAACGGCCCCTTAGCACGTGACGCAATTCTGTTTCAGTCGCAGCCGTACCGAGACCCGCCCTCATGCTGTCAAAAGACGCGTGCGCCCAACGATGCCTCTCCAGCCACGGCTATTTCGGCCTCGCTGAGACGAGGCAGCCCCTGCCCGTTTCCCTCGGAAGGGTCCGCTTCAAAACGTGCCTCTGCCACGTCACCAGGGAGTTCAAGAAGTTCGTCGCCCAGGCCGTTGGTCCCTGGACCGCCCGGATGTACCCGTATTTCCAGAAGATCGGCCTCGGGAGATGGGCCCGCAACCGAATGCTCCGGAAGAACTCCGAGATCAATTTCTACACGTGGGACCAAGTGCATGGAGGGAAAGAAGGAGAACAAGAAGAAGAACAAGAAGAAGAACAAGAAGAAGAACAAGAAGAGGAAAGTGGGGAAACCCATGCGGAGACAGAACGAAAGCAGCACAACACTCGGAGTCATAATGGTCCGCCGCGGGCACCGCCGACATCTCCCGCGGCTGGCGCAGGCGCCTATAGGCAAAACGTGGACGTTAAAGCGCTGCAAAGCACGGGTGCAGAACCTCTCACACTCGAGGCGCACCTAGCGCGGGAGCGGACAAGTTTCGATCAGCGACAAGCTGCAAAAGGTTTACCGCCACCTCCGAGATCAACGTCCAGTAGAGGGAGTGCCACGAGCTTGAGCTTGGCTGATGGATCTCAGATCTCTGTGGGATCTGGTTCGAGGGCCTCGAAATCGCAACACGCAAAATCGCAATACGCAAAATCGCCATACCCAAAATCGCAATACGCAGGATCGCAATACTCAAAATCGAGGAGCCGAAAGGAATGAAGAGAAGGGAAGCGGCGCCCTGTGAGGGATCTCCCGATAACGTCACCTCCAAAGATTTACACGAAGAATTGAGCGCCTGGAGTCATTTTATATCGGAGACCTCGATTTCCAAGGAGGCAACAGTCCTTTCCAGATGCTCAAACTGGAACGCGTCAGTTTGCGGGTGTTGACTATTGAAAATGATGAAGAATGAACAAAAAGACCCGAATGTAATTTTGCCTTCCACATGTTTATTTTGGCTCGCACCTCGCTATCGCGCCTTCAATTTTGCGGATGCAACACGGATATCCATCAAGCACGAATAGTTGTATTTCTGCGCCGTCATCAACGCGTGCCCTGTCCTTTGCTCTGCGTTAGTTTTCGGCGAGAGTTGACTCGTAGTTGTTGATCAAGTCATCATCTAGCAGACCTTCGAGGTTCAAAAGCCAACACCTGCATCGATACTTCAAGACTGACGCTGCGGTTTGAGCTTCTAGAAAGGACTGATGTAATCGGTTGAGGCAAAATTTCAGTGCGGAGGTCATCGCTGTTTTTCTCCCTGTTATAATTGATGAGCAAACGGAGGAAACAATCTGCCTAATGATGAACGATGATTGTCGGGATGAACACTTTGCTAAGCGAGTTTTTGTAAAGCCCTGGATAGGCGATCAAATTCTCGAACCAATTCCGATCAAAGTAGCATCTAAGTGTCGGGAGTCATCAGTCTTAAACTCATTAATTTGCTTAATTTTAAAATGAAATCTTGGCAGGGATGCTTCCTGTGGCAGGAAATGATGAATGGTGGCACTCCATTCTGACCTTACTTTGAACAAAATAGTGCGGCCCGTCAAAATTTGATGGTAGATGGTGACCATCAGTCATCAGCATGTCTACTTTGATCGGAATTGGTTCGGAATTTGATCGTCTATCCAAGGCTTAAAATAGGTTCGGCTTACAAAATCAATGTCTCAACTCTTTGGTAACCAGTCATCATTCGGTGAATTTGACCCGAACGTAACTTCGGCTTCCGCGTATTTAATTTCCTTCACGCTTCGCGCCAGCGCGCCTTCAATTTTGCAGATGCAACACGGACATCCATCGAGCACGAATAGTTATCTCTGCGCCGTCATTAACGCGCGCCTTGTCCCGAGTGTCTCGTGCTCTATTCTATAGTGTGCCTGTTTCCGTTTGTATTTTTTATAGTGAGGCTTTGTAGTGAGGGCTACTTGAGTAACAGCCGAAGATGGGAGAGACTTATTCGGGCCTCTGTTTTAACTTTTCATCCCGTAAAAATGTAAGAAAAAGTATTCTTCACCTTCAAAAACATAGAAATAAGATAGAAAATACTTTAAAAACCATCAAAATCAAAGTATGTAATTAAGGGTCCATTTGACCCGATTTGGGACTTTGCGCAAAAAAAGGATGGGGCACCGAAGGGTTAATAGAACTCAGGGCTCAGGAGTATAACGTTGGATCGACAATGGTATTCTTCTTCGAATTTTACCCTTAGATAATGAGATTCCTGAAAACGCAAAATTGCGTTGTTATACTATGGCTTAATGGAGTGTTCTGCGAACATTTTACACGTCCAAATAATATTTACGAGACAAATTCTATGCTATCTATCTCAGCCGTTAAGCTCAAGACTTATCATTGTTGAACCAAAATTTGAAGAAGAGAAAAGAACTAATGTTATGGCGGTCTGGTTAGGATACTAAGCGAGATATCATTGCCAGTGAGTTTAATTCATACTCTTCATTCTATACCTATTCTTCATTCGGTTATTTCTAAATATAGTGCTCTGACATCACATTAATGCCATAAATTGCCGATAGAAATTAAGAAAACCTGTAGAAAAAATCAGCAGCTCTCTCAGTTTGAATAATCCAGCATGCATAGTATGCCATCAATTTTAAAGGAAGGGTTGTGCTGTCATTGAAATAAAGCAACATAAAATGCTGTACTGATTTTAGGATTGTGCGACTTTGCTCACGGTGTAATTGCAAGTTCAGCAGCGTTCATTGGAAAGATTTCCGTCAGACCAGGCATATTCTCCGTTTTGTTGTTTTCTTTCTTTTTTAGACTCCACGCAAAATTTTACCACGAATGTTAATTTTTATTACAGTTCAAATATTATTAATTGATTACTTCTGTGAAATTTCATTAAAATGTTAATATTTCGGTGAAATAAGTTTTATTTCTTCAAAAATCCCCGCACTAGAGTCCTTTCACAATTGCTGACCAATAAAACATTGATAGATTGCATAAAAGAACTTCGTTGGAATTATCTACCACCCTCGCGAGTTTTCATTTAAAACTGATGCCTTCCTAGTTCGGGTTGAGTGGTACTTGATAATTTCAGGAATTCACTCCTTTAACTTCGTGTGTTTGTGTTGGCAAGCCAAAGAACGATGAAAAACAGGCACGCCATCATGTCTTGCGGAAAAAAACTTTCAGCCCGAGAGCAGTAATAGTTGCATCCGAGAATGTTAATATCGAAGTCGCGTAGCGCCAATGTCCTAAATGACAATGCAGTTCTGCATCGAATGAACTCTCCTAGGGGGTCTTGTAGTTGATTCATGCGTTATTGTTTAGTTCTGTGAGAATAACAATGGTTTTTCTCAAACACCTATCAATTTTTCGGCAAATGAATATTCTCTTTAAAAATAAACTGGCCTTCCCCGAAGTGAGTTCAACTTTTCAGGAAACTGGTACAAGATGGAGAAAAATCAAAGTGATTTTTGGAGTCAACAGCAAAAAAGAGAGAGAAAAAAATAGTGAAGTATTCTCATCAGACAATTGTGTATGATAATTTGTCCGTCCTTTTAGACGCAAAGTAAATGGATTCGTTTTACCCGAGGACATATAAGAGAGGATTCTGATCGCAAAAACCTAATCATCAAATGCAAATAGGGACATATTTTTAGGCATGCGATACATGTGCATACCGTTGAATTTTTTGCTATTAAATCCAAAAATATCCTCGACGTTTCCCTACACCATGCACCAGTTTCCTGGAACATCAATTTGTTTCTCCTTTTTTTTTTAAAAAAAAAAAAAAAACAACCGTTTTCTAAATCTCGATTTCCTGGAAAATTAGCATCGGGAAAACACGATATTCATTTCTAGATTTAGCCCTAAAAATAACGCAGAAAATCAACTCTTAAACCCCCAGCATTTTTTATGTGTTTTTCATTTTTTGCAGACTTGTCTTATGAGGAATGTTTTTGATCTAAGCTTTTAAGCATCATTCCATTTGAGAGCACTTAGTATGCTTCCAAAATTACACATTTTCAAAAGCGACTCATAGAAAAAAAAATTTAGGTCCTCCGTCCGCGTAATTTATTCTCAATTCTGCTTTCCATTAACGAGAGTCTGGAGTGATGGGTTTTAATGCCGTTATGCTGAATACATATGTGTGCGGAATGGTGGAATAATGAGGAAATCACCCCACGATTTGATATGAAGTTATGTTGGTAAATGGACTTGTGAAATATGCACTATATGCTGTAATAGGCCATCAATATAATATGTATTTCGCAGAATGGGGGGAGGGAGGATCTGCGTTACCTTTTTGGAGAGGCGGAGAAGACAATATAGTGCCCAGCAGAAGTTTTTCCCCGTATATTTATGCGGTCTCTTGTAATTTTTGACTGATATGGGTACCAAGAAACTGCGGGCATTTTGCAGTATTTGAAGCATCGTGAGCCGTAGGTCTAACTGCATTGCGACGTTTCATTTTAATATTTATCAATTTACCCAAGAACGGTTGCAAATTTTAATTTGAAATTGATCGTGAATTTACTTTTTGATTCGGCTGAAAATTCTCTGAAATTTTCGATGTAAAACATGTACCTGTAAATTATCCAGCGTATACAACTTTGAAGCGTTGTAGTGTTATTAAGCCTCACCCTTTCACTTTTGTTTTTTTTTTGTTTCTCGATGTTCATTTCAAAAAGCAACCTCGACTTAACTTGATTTATTTCAAGCATTTGTGGCATTTTCTATTTCCTGAAAAAGGAGAAGGTCGTCAGCGACACAATCACGAATTGGTATGGGAACACACAACCCAGTATTACGCGGATAGCGTCAAAGGAGGTGGATGTGTTTTCGAAAACTGCAAATCCACCGTAAGTGACTAATAACTAAATTCATAGTCAGCATGCAAGGTATCGAATCAAAGATCTTATGGTATTTATCAGTATAATATTCATTCTTACACTTACTTCACCAATATTATGATGTTCAGCATTACCATTCAATTTTCTCTCTCTTTTGATTCGTTAATATTTTTGAAGAATGTGATGACAAAAGATTACAAAAAAACATTCCCACAGTTTAGTAGGTAAGTTTTCAAAAAACAGTTTAAAACAGGAACAAAGTTGCAACTATATAATACTGCCAAAGCATTGATTTAAAAATGTAGAGCTCGAGTCATGGATGTGACATGCAAATGATGGGACACATTATAAAATCGGTAGTGAAAAATTCAATTCATGAGATGTGATTCTTTTGAGTCTTTTGTTTAGTATTAAATACAAATTTACGTGCAAATGAAGTACCTACGAACAACCTGTCCATTTTTTACAGCTCTTTTGATTTTTACCATCTCTCTGCATTGCTGCATGGACATTTCTGGTTACGAGGTATGCAATTTGTTTGTCAAATGTTAAAATAATCCTCACGGTTTCCTCCCCCAAGAAAAGAATTTGGCTCCATTCTTGTGCCCCCTAAAAAAAGAAAAATACAAGTGGCTCATAACCTGAAAAAATGTATAACTAGAAAGCTACCCTAATCTGTATAATTGCACATATGTATTTAATTTGATCCACAAAATAATCGTTTTTAACTCGATACCTATTTCGGGAGAATACCACACTTGAGGCAGAAAAAAGGAGAAAAAAAGGAAATTAAAACTGTCATTTTTCTGAAATGAACTTCGCTAGTTTCCTGAGGCGGAAAAAAATATAAACGAACGTTTATATTAGCGCGAATATCGCGTGAATGCCCGTGTAATAAATAACGTGCCTTGAAATTTGGACGTTTGGTGCGATGTTCACAGAGGAATAAATTCATTTCAGGGATAAAAAAAAAAAAAAAAAAATAACGAGATATTTTCAGCGTCCAAATTTTCCCCCTTTTTTTCATTGGTGCAGTTTAACCTACCTTTTATCAAACGCAATTATCCAATCAGTCGCCATGATGAAGCACTCACAAACTCAACGTCTCAAAAACTCACTATCGACGACGAAAGACGGCGATGAGCACGAAACTGTCGAAAATTAAATCGAGAATCCATGCCGCGAAAGAAAAAAAAAAAAAAAAAAAAAAAAATGAACCACGCGAAGACGACCCGGAGCGCGGGAAACGACCGGTGCGCGGAGTAAGGGTAGGAGAAACTGGCGGCTACTTGTGGAGAGGACATGAGGTAAGTCGGTTTTACTCACTACAACTGTCAATATTCCTAGGCCGCATGCGCTCTTAGCCACCACCGGTTGAAGCCTTGTATGTACTTACACACCGACTATTATCAAGTTTATTCTCGGCGTTATGTCCGCTTCGAGGGACGCCCGGTGCCCTCCTGTTGCCTACCCATCGCGGCGCAGCGATACGGCATCCGCACAGGACCCTAATTATCCCCCTCGCGAAATTCCCCCGCGCCGCCCGGGCAGGGATCTTGCCTCGAACCCTCGCCGCGCCACCCCGCCGCACCCCCGCTTTCCACCCCTCATAATCTCACCTGTGGAATTAATCGCGTTTATTTTTTTCCACTTCAGATGTTCCAATTTCCGCGCGCCGCGCGCGTCCAGGAGCACCGCTTGTTTCCCCACTTTCAATTTTTCTTACCACGCACTCGTTCTTTCGCGTCGCTGGAAAGCGCGCTCGCCCGGGCGATTTTACTTAGTTTCGGAGTTAATCAGTCGCGTGTGGAGCGCGCTGCTTTAGAAAAAACACCGTATGAACTTTCAAGCGTTGCCAAATCTCGTTGATAAAACACGAATTTCCTGGTAAACTTATGAATATTTTTCTTCCAAATTTATCAGATGGTTTTGCTCGCAATTCCACCCAAAGTTCCTGAAAATTTCAAGGAAATATATTCAGAACTTTCTTAAAAAATATACATTTTACTGAAGGAAATTTGGCAACGCTCGAGTGTTCATATGGCGTTCTTCCTTAGCACGGCTGCGCCGCGGGGGAAAGTTTCCTCGAGACCAAGTTGTTCTTTAATTTTTTCCCTTCGAGATGCCGAGAAAATGGAAGCTGAACATGTGTCTGGGAATTTCCGTTCTAAACACTCGCTCGGAAGTAATTTGCGAGGAACACGAGGCAGTGGCGTGGCGTGAATAATCGATTATCGATATCTCGCCATTTGAAGCTATGGTAAAGAATCGATTACTAAGGTGTTCGCTGCGAACACCCTGATGATCGATCTTTTTTCATAGGTTTAAATGGCATAACAATCGATTTATCGCAATTCACGCCACGCCACTGACACGAGGGTGCCAGTGGTTTCGTCTGCAATCAACGCTCAGGGTTCAAACAAGTTCCCAGAGTTGAACTTACTATGAAGAAGTACCCTCCATGTGAAAGAGCCAACCTGTGCATTCAGTCTTTTCCGTGTATAGATTTGCCTTCAGGGTTGAAAATGAAGGCATCAATGCTTGTTTCGGCCCTTGAATTTCCACGGGTAGCTTTAATTCACGAAGAGGAGCATTCAAAGACTTAATTCTGATGTTTACGGCCAATTTTAGGCTCATCCACTTTTGAACCCAGCTCGGGAGGTTGGTTGAAAATGTTTGTGAAGTGGTCGTCATTGGTGCCAACGTGGAAAATTAAATGTTGTAGCCGCTTCTAAACCTTCTAAAATTTCGTTTGGTAACAGAGGATGAAGAATGACCGTAGGTCAAAAACTTAACAAAATTCAAAACGAAATTCCACTTGATACTTCGTGAATTTATATTGTTATCACAATAAGAAAATTTTACTCTATTATGTCGAAAACAACATAGTGCATGACATTTTCACAAAACAGCTTGTCTGGTATGGCCATGTGCAACGGATGCCAAATGATAGGTTGCCTAAAAAGGTTCTGGATTGGGTCCTCCCTGGCAGAAAGCGTAGAGGACGCCCTGCCAAATCGTGGATTGAGGGAATAATAAGGCAGGAAATGAGGAGATGCAATCTGCCAGAGGAGCTCTGGCAGGATCGCTATCAATGGCGGTTGGGTGTCGCAGAGCGCACAGAGGCGCTATTAGAGCGACTTGTTAGTTAGTTAGTATTCTATAATGTAGTTATAATCTGAACTATAAATGCAAACAAACCTCAGGGAATTAGGTCGGGAATCCTCACTTCAAACCAGGCGCACTCTCTGCACCTCTACTAATGTGGCAAACGGAAACAGACACAATATCGACGGTGAAACTACCAAACCACGTATCTCGGTTTGCGACGTCGCAGACTTCCTGTCATACTTTATTTTTTAAATGAAAAACTACTCAACGTCCAGTCTTGAAAATTTCTGTGATTTTTCCTCTTCGTGCGGAGAAAATTCTGTGAAAATTTCAAGGAATGATATTGATTTGGTCTACTTCAAGAGAATAAAATGCGAGCGTAGATTTTTAAACGCCACAAACGAGATACGTGGTTTGGTAGTTTCACCGTCGATATGGAAATAGAGCAAAGGAAAGAACGCACGTTGATCACGGCGCAGTGATACAACTATTCGTGCTTGATGGATGTCCGTGTTGCGTCTGCAAAATTGAAGGCGCGCACTGCGCGATGCGTGATATCTCGATACTCCGCTTCGTGTTGGCGATTGTCGGTTCTTTCTTGCCAAAAGCTTTCTTCTTTCTCCTCTTCTTTACTTCTCCTTCTTTTCTCCTCTCTCTTTTGACGCATTGACAATGTTTCTCTTTATCGCAGAACTGAGATCACCCATAAACTCTGACCACAGTTCGATATTGACATGGATTTGTCTCTGTATGTAGAGAGGACGATCAAAGAACGGGTGGGTAAATCCGTGTGTTGATGGTTGACGCATGAAAAAACAAGCTGACGCGCCTTCAATTTTTTGAATGTGCAACACGGACACCCCCCGAACACGAATAGTTGCCACCAAACGTCACTATCGAAGTCACATCTCGATCCACGGAGAAAACAATGATGAAAAGCTAAATGCGCCTGTTTTTGTATGAATGAAACCCATCTGTCATTTTTCACTAATTTTTGGTAACTTTTTGTAATTTTTGGTACTCGCAACCATATCTAACTCTATTCGCAGGGATTTATCAAGGTTTAGTCCTGGGTACCTGCTTTTGTCTCGTGTTTGTATCCCAGAGGTTGCCAGGATCGTTAAAAGAACATCGTAAAAACTACTCACGGCACCTTTTTTTTTTACATAAACACACCGCAAAGAGTTTTTCGGGGAAAGTTGATCACCGACTTCAATTAAAATGACACGGTAACCTTTTTCAGGGCCTTATTCACAAAGAACTTGCTCAGTTGCGCGGAGTTATTTCTTGCGGTATCAAATTACTTAGTCCAGTCAAAATCCACCTGCATAGAGACTGAGGGGTATTCAGTTTTTCCTCATACTAGTGCTTATCCGACGATAAACAAGCTTCCATTTTCAGGTTCTTTTTCGCTTCACTACTTATGCATGAGAGAAATTTACAACATCATTTTTTTAAAATAGATGCGTATCTCCGTTGAAGGAGGGGAAGGGAAGGGTAGAGGAAGGGGAGGGGGGCTAAAGAGTTGTTTCCAGGGGCTTCAGTCGCCCCTGTCTATGCCCACGTCCCTTTTAATGAGTCTCAAGTTGTTGCTTCTGCGGAAGAATAATAATAATATTTAAGTGCGGGCTGAACCTTACAGATTATTATAACAAGCCTCAGCTAAAAATTCTGCTGGGTTCCTCTCTCAGGATATAATAGAGATGGATTCAAATGAGAGCCTACGGAGGATATAAATGCCTACCGTATGAGACAATTAAAAAAAAAAAAAACAAGACACCTCAATGTGCAAAAATTTATCATTGACTCATTGAGCAATGAGTACCAGAGCCTAGAGTCAAAGGAATTCTTTACGAGCATTATGTATAACCAGGTCATTTTATATATTTACCAAAAAAAATGATAAACCACCCTGGTAAAAATTGGCGATAGGAGGTGCGTTTCAAAATACCATAGAGTTCTTATAGCCGACTAAAGAAGGCTATTGACAATCATATAGCTGGCTGTAGAAAGCGGAGCGAATCATATAGTCGGACTACACGAAGCTATAAAAAAGTATACAGTCGGGCTATAGTTCCTATCGCCGCGCTTTACTCTTTATCGCCATTGGCTATTAAAGGCTATAAGAAATTGTGTAGAAATTCGTGTGCTTTGGAAATCATTAAGTTTGATACGGAATTACCTTAACATTTACAAAACACACATTATATTTTCCTTTAAAACAATTTTTTTTTTCATCAATTAAAATGAGAATAGTACTCCATACAGAGTGTACAAACATTTCAAAATCATGAGTTGAAAAACGCTGACTCCGCGAAATTAAATATTAGAGCCTAACACAAAGCGAAGCGGCGACGCACTGGCGCCTATAAACCTAACAGGGATACTTCACGCATTGCGCAATGCGTGAAGTATCCCTGTTAGGTTTGTAGGCGTCAATGCGCGTTTCGAGCTCTCTGCCCGCCCGCCACGCCGCAGCGTGCCACGGCGTCTGAAGCAACTATTTCACATCAGAGGTATTGCACAGTATCATAAGAAATTGGAGGCGCTCCAACATATTAAGAATGACAGTCATCCATCAAAAGTACGGAGTTTTCCTCGCAAAATAAATCAAGATACTACGGCACATAAAGAGAGCGGTAGTCCAAAAACTAACCAAGTCCTAGTATCCGTATTTAGTAACGTTCAGCATCAACTTTATCGTCTGGCTGTTGCTTAGTCGCCAGCGGCTATAAAAGGCCTTAAGAAATTGTACAGCCGGCTATAGAAGCTATTGAAATCTTACAGCCGGCTTCAGGTCTATAGTATTTTGGAACACACATTCTACTGCCAATTTTTACCAGGGCAAACCGGGTTCAAGGCGATTTGATGTTTTCAGTCTTAAAAAAAACGTCATTTTAAGAGAAAATATATATAAAATCCTAATTTATCATGTTAACGAGGCGATACTGTCGAATTAAAATTAAATTTTATGCCTTTTATCGGCACAAAAATGAACTAAACCACTCGTGACTCATTCGTGAGGACTTTAAAAAGAGTTGCGAGTCCATTGAAATCACAAAATCCA